AAAGGCCTTTTATAACCTGGTTCAGCAACCTGAGGCTTTATTTCTCACTATTCTGTTCCTCTTTCCTCAATTTGAAAAAGCCCTTTATTTACTCTACTTGTATTTTTCTAGCGTATGCCTCCAGCCTGAAAATAAAGCAATCTTCAAATAAATACTTCTTGTTAAGTTGATAGTTGCTTTGACATGTCAAGGGCTATATTAATTCTATACGGCTTCAAAGAAGCCTCCTGCTAATCTTTGGACTGTCTTCATAAGAAGGTGTAAGGATGGGACATAAATTACTGTCTATTTTTACTCCTCTTCAAATGGAGTCACGGATTCATTCAACCTATGCCTCAACTTTTTAAAGGTGACATATTTTAAAACTGTAAAGTGTGCCTCCTTCAAAGTAGAAGAAATTAATAAAGAAATGGCAACTGAGGGCCAATTTTGCTAACATAGAAAATTTAGTGAAGTGTAATTTGAAAGATTTAGTGCTCATTAAAACTTCAACTGGTAGTTATTTTTTTTCTTTTTCTTTTTAATATTATTTTTGGTACCAGGGATCGAACTCATGACCGTTCACTCGCAAGGCAGGTGCTTGTGCCACTGAACTAAATCCCTGGCCCATCAAATGGTAGTTATTTTCTTAAGAAAATATTTTAAAAAATAGAAAGTACAATGGTTTTGGTTTCATGTGCTGGAGGTTTGGTTCAAAGTGTAACAGTTCATATTTTGGGTTTTATTTTCTGAGACAGGATCTTGCTATGGGACCTAGGATGGCCTTGAATTCATGATCTTTTTGCCTCAGCTTCCCACGTGCTAGACTTTCAGGAATATTCACCACCATGCCCTACTCCGATGTAAAGGTACTGAGAAAGGGCGGAGTCTCTAGGAGGTGGTGGCAGAGGGAGGTGATTAGGTCTTTGGGATCACTATACTCCGAAGGGACTAATGTCCATCTCTGGAGAGTGGGTTGGTTCTTGACGGACTGGAATAGACGCCACCCTACTTGGTCTCTGCACTTGCTGCTCACAGCTCTCACACGCACCTCCACCAAGATAACCTCTGCTGTGTTATTGTGCACCGTGACGAGGCCGAACAAGCCTAAACTTTGTAGCTTTTGAATATGAGAGTCAAAGCAAACCTTTCTTATAAAGTGTTAGTCCCAGGTATTTTGTTATAGCAACACAGAAAATTAAAAATGTAAGTGAAAGGTCTCCATAGGCTATTATAGGTTGCATATGGTTTATAAATCATAGGAAATAAATACTTCACATTTCCATCAATGGCTTTCTGGGAAATGAATGAATTTTATTTTGTGGGAATTGGGAACTGAACCCAGGGGTACTCTATCTCTGAGCTACATTCCTAACCCTTTTTATTTATTTGAGAGAGGGTCACACTAAGTTGCCAGGCTGGCCTCAAACTTGTAACTTTTCTGCCTCTGCTTTTTGAACAATTAGGGATGTAGCTCTGTACCCCCTGCTTCAATCTCTAATATCCCCCCCCAAATACTTATGCATTTTGGTAATATCATGTCTGGAGTGTATACCTGTCTTAGTTATTTTTCTAGCTGCTAAGACAAAATGCTGGACACCCAACGTTAAAGGAGGAAGGGTTTATTTAGCTCACAGTTCACAGAGGTTTCAGTTCAGAGCTGGCTGGCTCCAAGGCAGGTGGACACCGCAGAGGGACATCTCAGAGGAAAAATAGTCCAGGGCAAGCAGGCAGGCAACAGCACATTAAAACTCTTTCTGTCTCTTATATTTTATGCAAACTACTTGCCCTGGGGCAAGTGTAGCACTCACATCCTTAATCCTAGCCTGAACTATGCTAAACCAATCAGTGGACTGATTTAGTAATCACACACCCGTGATCCTGGTGTCATATATATAACCATAACACGTGGGAAGGCTTGTAGCTAAGAGTTTGCCTCACACCTCAGAGGAGACTTTGGAGCTGGACTTTTCAGCAATGCTGAAACTGCAAGGACTTTGGACTCACACAAAGGGATGTGCACAAGTCTTTGGGGTCCAAGGGATGGAATGTTATGACTTGTGTCTAGATGTCCCCCCAAGCCTCATTCAATCAGAGGTGGGGCTTTTCAGAGCATGTGATGCTGGGTGTGTGATTACTAAATCAGTCCACTGATTGGTTTGGCATAGTTCAAAGGTTAGGATTAAGAGTGTGAGTGCTACACTAGCCCTAGGGCAAGTAGTTTGCATAAAATATAAGAGACAGAACAAAGGCTAATGTGCTCTCACCTGTCTGTTTACCCTGGAGTATTTGTCCCCTGTCATGCCCTTCTGCCATGGGCCACCCTGCCTTGGAGCTAGCCAGCTATGGACTGAAACCTTTGCAAAGTATGAATCAAATAAAAGTTTCCTCTTTTACTTTTGGATATTTTGCCTCAACAATGAGAAACCAGTATGATTTTTAGTACTAGGAATTGAACCCAGGGCCTTGTAATTGCTAGGCAGGCACTGCACCACTGAGTTCCACCCCTGGCCCAATTTTGAGATCTATACATAAGGAATAATTCCAAATTAGGAAAAAATAAATATGACATGTGGAAATTGATAGAACTGTGGGGGACCAGCGGCGGCTGAAAAGATAAGAAGTATGAAAGATAAATGACCTTTATTTTGAGAATGCGGGAAGAGACACCCCCGGTCCCCTGGAGTGCGGCATCTCCCCCCCAGGGTTGGCGATCTCCCTGTGGAACACGTGGAGTGGAAGTATATAAGTGGCCTAGGTTTGGGGTGGAACCTAAGGGGCATTAGTGATGCACAGGTAGCCCATTGGTATTCTTTTGGGGCCATAGATAAATTCCTAGGGGTGGGGGATGGAGCTCCTTGGTTCCGCCTGAGGCTTTACCGGCTATAGTGTCCTGTCTGGGCCAAAACTGTTTCAGAAATATAGTCATTGAAACTTTGCATGAAGTTTTCTAAATATTGAACAATGTAGGGCTGAGGGTTTAGCTCAGCAGAGTGAGCGCCTATCTGGCAAGCATGAGATCATATGATAGTAACTATACAGAATTTGAAACATGCAAATAATACTGCATATTATCTAGGGGTATGTGTAAGTGGAGCAAAAATATAAAGAAAATAAAGAATTGAATAATCGCCAACCTTGAGAAGCAGTTACATGTGTCAGGGAAGGAGGGAGTTTCAAATACAGAGGACATGAGTTGTACTATTAACGTGTTCCTTTTTTCCTGCTTTTCTTTTCTCTTCTTTTTGTATTAGGGGTCAAATCCAGGGCTATATCCTGTACCAACACTACTATCCCTCCACCCCAGCACTGCTGCAGTCATTTATTCTGTTGTGTTTTTCTGGACTGGGGACTAAACCAACGACCTTTGCACTGAGCTCTATTCCTACCCCTTTTTAAAAAAAATAATACTTTTATTTTGAGACAAGATCTTGACCAAGGCCAGGCTTGAACTTGTATGTGATCCTCCTGCCTCAGCCTCCTGGTATGCTGGGATGACAAGTACATACCACAACATCTGGCTACATTTTATTTCTTAAACTCAGTGAGAAAAATGGATGTTAATCCCATTAGTGTTTACCTCTTTCTGTATGTCTAAATATTTTGTGACAAGTTATTATGCAGTTAGAAAGGAGCATTTTGAATGTTTTTACCAGAAGGAAATGATAAATGTTTGAAGAAATAGATGGTTTATTGATTTAAATATTCATCTGTGTATACATACATTGAAACGTCACATGGTCCTCCCTAAATATGTACAATTTTCATGTTTTTAGGTATCAAATTAAAAACAAATTTAGGGTGTGCTGGCATAAGCATTAATCCCAGCACACTAGAAGGCTGAGGCAGGATATCACAGAGTTCAAGGCCAGCCTGGGTTATGTAGTGAATTTAATGCCAGCCTGAACTACTTAGTGAAATCCTGTTTCAAGAAATAAAGAACAACAACAAAATTGGGCTGTGCTGTAGCTTATTTGTGCATCATGTACGAGGCCCAGGATTTGATCTCCAGCACTGTCATTATTTTAATTAAAATTTTCTTTATCTATCAAACAGTTCCATGAAAGTCAATGTAATAACATGGAAAATGTTTGTACTGTAACATTAAGTTACATAAACTGCATTCAGAATGTTTATAGCTACATGAAAACCGCTCAAAAACCTTGCAAAGAAATATCCCCGGAAGTTAGCCACTTCCCCTAGGATGGCGGTGTTATCACCCATTCAAAGTATTTCTTCAATTTTCTGTTATGATTGGTATCACCGTTTATCTTTTGTATTTATTTTTGGGAGTTTTTTGAGGAAGATCTCACTGTGTGGTTCAGGCTGGCCTTAAACGTGGCTATCTTCCTGCCTCAGCCTCCCAAGTGCTTGGGATGACAGGTGTGTGCCACCACATCTGGCCCAACATTACTATTATATTTGAAAACTAATAAACCTGTTTAAAAAATAATCATGATACATGTACTAGCTACCAAACCCTTTGTTGCTTGTAAATTAATATTCTGCATAGCTTGCAATCCTGCATCGCGTGTGAGAGGTGGAAGGTGGGAGAAAGAAACTAGACAGAAATGAGTGAGAACCAGGCATGGTAGTGCAGGCCTATTAGTCCAGCACTGTGGAGACTGAGGCAGGAGGATCGCTGTGAGTTTAAGGTCAACCCGGGCTCCACAGTGAGTTCCAGGCCAGCCTGAACTGCCTAGGGAAACCCTGTCTCAAAAAGAAGAGAGCGAGAGAGAGACAGAGACAGAGACAAAGACAGAGAGAGGTTTGACAGGTCCCTGAGTTGGGTTATAAAAGAGGCTGAAAGCAGAGAGCCATATGTTCCTGAAGGACCTGAGGAACACACTTTGGGTGACACTAGGTAACCTATGCTGGCTTCGAAACAGAGCTGATGAGACAGAAGGATTCCTCACATGCAAAGAATGTAGCATAAAATAAATTCACTTTGTTAAAAGAAGGAATAAATGAGTAGAAGAGTAAGCCAGAGAGCATAGTAAATGTGAGGCTCTTAACTCGAGTTTAGGTTGCTAGAACATTTTATAATTTCCATGGAACTTAACAGTTGTAGAAGCAGCATGGATGTTTGTCCGGCAAACCAAAGCCAAAGCAACTCCATCTTGAAAGTGGGCCTCAGTTTTTCCATCCAGCCCCTTCACCCCCTAATGTTGAGCTGTGTGCAGACTTCAGTGCCCAGGCTCGGCCCCCACAGCAGCGGACTGGGCTCTTGTAGACAAAAGGATGGGAGTCCAACTCTCGCGGGTTTCCGCAGGACTCTTGTCTCTTGTTTCTGTTTTTTTTTTTTTTTTTTTTTTTTTTTTTTTTTTTTTGCTCTTTACCTCAGGGCTTAACTTACTATAAAGCCAGTAGTTTAGAAAAGGGGCTTTGCAGCCTGCAAATTGCTCCTGCTTTGTGAGCTCACTGACTTGCCAAGCTAGACATGACTATATATTCTGTGTGCGGTCAGCGCCCTCTCGATTGGAGGCAGATGTTCTGTTTACATCTGTCTGGGAAATTTATGGACCAATATTTGAGAGCATCTGCTTCTTTGACTTCATAGTACAGTGGAGCACTCTAAGTTCTGGAGAAGTTGAATAACACCACCAAGCAGTGAAAGAATCAAGTATCCTGGCTCTTTTTAAATACTACTTTTCTTTAAAAATGGTAATAGTTTTTGACACATGCCTGCTATCCCAGCACTGGGGAGCCTGAGGCAGGAGGATCAGTGTGAGCTTGAGGCCAGCCTGGGCTACCTACTGAGTTCAAAAATCAGCCTAAACTGCATAGAAACACTCTGTGTAAAAGAAAAAGAAAGGAAAAAAGCATAATAGTGAGAAATTCAGGCTGTTGTTGTTTGTTTGTTTGTTTTTTTGAGCAGACTTTCACTATGCACTTCAGGCTGGCTTTGAACTCACAAGGATCCTCCCACCTCAGCCTCCCGAGTGCTGGGATTACAGGCATGCACCACCACATCCAGCTAAAAATATTATTTTTCAAATTTAAATACATTACAAATTCATTAGTGCCCTCTTTCTCAGTCAGGAAAAAAATAAAACCCACCAAAGCTGTACTCCATTTTCTTCCATCTCTGTCTGTGTTGATAGTATTTTCTCCCTCTGCCTACCTAAAATAATCCACCTTTCAAGGTTTAACTAAAGTACTTTTGGGTTGATTGTAATCCAAAAATCCTGCAATGAATGCTTCAGTTTGGCTGAAAGATGTAGAAATGAAGTGGAGTGGGAAAAAATAGGGAGAACCAGGGATGGTGGTAATCATCTACAGCCTGCACTCTGTGAAGCTGAGGCAGGAGGATCACAAGTTCATGGCTGGCCTGGGCAATTTAGAGACTTAGTGACTGTCCCCAGATAAAAGGTGGGGTTATAATTCAATGAAAAGGCCCCAAGTTCAATCCCCATTACAAAAAATAAAAGGGGAGAAGGACTGAGCTTGCGGTAAGTACCCAGCATGTATGAAGTCCTGGGTTCAATTCCTAGCTTGAGGGCTTGGGGGAGGGTAATAATTGCTAACACTGATGCAGGCTTCTCACCCGCCAGGCCCAGCCCAGTTCACCATTCAAACCCAGGATCCCACTTCCTTTCTCCTCAAGAGCTGTGAGTCAGGGATCAGGATTGTGTCATGGGTAACAGAAAAGCCTGAGGCCAGCGATCAGGGCAGCAGGTTGTGTCTCTCCTGCTCACCGAGGAGGCCAGTCTGTTTCACTGTGTGTCCAGTGGGCAGTGATGTCACCAAGCTCATTCTTTCTTCTTTGAGTGCTCAATGTATGAAGTAGTCATGCAACTTCTTCAGGCACCGCAGCCCCTTGCAGCGGGAAGAACGGTGGCCCAGCTCCACACACTTCCTGAGCCCCGTCAAGGTCAGAGCTGTGTCCTCCTTGGTCACCTCTAGCCACAGGGGCATTTTCTTTTAATACATAAGGAGGGTGGCTATTTTGGCAGTTGCTTAAGTAGGTTCTCATTTGCAGATGCAGACACTGAGCATGAAAAGACTCAGAAACAAACAAACAAAAAAAGGCTCAGAAACCGTGGGTGCAATGGGAAAGGACTTTGGCCCTGCCTCACGCTGAAGCTGAGGTATCAACTCCATGACACATTTTGGACTAGCCCTGCTTTCTCTTTTTGTTTTGTTTTGCGTTACCGAGGATTGAACCCAGGGCCTTATACTTGCTAAGCAAGGGCTCTATTCCTGAGCTACCCCCTCCGCCCCACTTTACTCCTCTTCCCCTCAGATCTCAGGGGAGGGCTGTGGCTTTTGGTTAGAGATGAAGAAGAGGAAACTGATGCAGTGCTTTATTTTTTTTTCTCACTTGAAATCCTAGATAAACCTAGGAAACAATAGAGACTATAATAAACATGTATTCTCCCTTTTTTTTTTTTTTTTTCTTTTTTCTGGTGCCAGGAATTGAACACAGGTCCTTACACATGCTAAGCACCCACTGGGAGCTACACCCCAGCTATTTTACCTGTTTCTTTTTTTTTTTTTTTCTGTCTTTTCCTTTTTACCGGTACCATGGATCGAACTCACAACTGCCTGCTTGCAAGGCAGGTGCTTATACTGCTGAGCTAAATCCCCAGCCCCTATTTTACCTGTTTCTAAAACCGACTTATATCAGGGCTTTGTTTGCTTGAGAGTAAAAAGGGGAAGGCAGTGTCACAGAGTCAGGATACTGCAGCACGCTGACAAAATGACCAAGAACATCATTCACATCTCCTTAGGGCTGCACAAGAGGGACAGACAGCAGCTTTTTTTTGGTCTTTTTCGTTTTTTATCGGTACCAGGGATCGAACTCACGACTGCTTGCTTGCAAGGCAAGCGCTTATGCCGCTGAGCTAAATCCCCAGCCCCAAGAGAGGTAGCAGCTATTAAAACCCACAGAATCAGATCTGTGGATCCGGGTGGGAGTGAGAGGCTGGAGGAAACTGGAAAAGGAGGGAATTCAGAACTCTGCCAGGCATGGTGACATCTGCAAACTCAGCCTCAGGTCTCTGCTCCCAGGGGTGTAACTTTGCATCTCATGAATACATTCCAAATGTATTCACTCCAAGTGTGGCAACAGTCAAAACTGTTTACTAGCCAAATGTATTCACTCCAAGTGTGGCAACAGTCAAAACTGTTTACTAGCCAGGCTTTGTGAGACAAAGCCCACACCAATAAATACAGTGTTAGGATCTTTGGTTTTTTTTTTTTTGAGACAAAGTCTCATTGTGTAGTTCAGGCTGGTCTTGAGTTCACTATGTAGCCCAGGCTGGTCTCAAAGTCATAGTGATCTCCTGCCTCAGCCTCCCAAGTGCTGGGAGCATATTGCAGTATATGCCACCATGCCCGGTCAGTGCTAGAATTTTCTTAATGGGCGAAACTGAAGGCTGTACATCCTCTTTGGGCGTGCATAGAGCAAGAACAGCATTACCCTCTGGAGGTTTGGTAGAAACAATTCTAGAACCCATCTCAGCTGCTGAATCACAGCCTACGTTTTTCACAGGGGCTGAGTACAGTGGAAGACTCCTTGCCTAGCGCCATCCCTAGCAATACAGAGGAAACGGAAAACTGTGATTTTTAGTAGCAAATGAGGCTTAGTCCTCCAACCAATGCACTTCATTCCCTCTCATTGTTAATGTGATGCATCCACAACCCTTGTAACAGCACTGAGTCTTCTCACAGGCTTCGTTGCCATATGTGACAGAAAAATCCACCCAAATGTTTCCATCTTATTTGCACGAGCAATATCTATTTCTAAGGATTATGGGCGGATTACTCACAAATATTCAGAGCCATGTCCCATGGATCTTAATCTTTGCCCTATTTGGCTTAGAGCTTTGTTTTCTAAAATATTTTCCATTTTTTTGCTCCCATTTACCCTAGTTTAGCATTGGGGCAGCCACTGTATTTACAGTCCCACTTGGATCAAATGAAGTTAAAGAATGGTTAAGGAATGTTACACAAAGACTCAAAACGGAAATACCTTACACTGCATGGACTTTTTTTTTCCATTAAAATATGTTGTGTTTTGTTAGATTTTTTTAAAGGGGGTAAAATTAAACACAACAAAACAGAACAAAATAGGACATAAGAAAGTAGCATAAGAGATATAAATTTCAAAGCTAGATGACCTGAGATCTTTACTATCTATCATATTGTCTCTTTTTTTCTTCCAAATAGTTGTCCATGTCTTCGCATACAGAGAATTCATACAAAACAACATAGTATAAAACTGATCCGAACAGAATGAGGAAGGCATTTTAGGTCTTCAAAGCCAGACAATAGGGAAGTCACTAATGGCTGTCATAGAGGTTCTCGTTCTCTTCAAAATAGCTGAGCATACTTTCATGTATATTGAAGTTCAACAAAACAAAACAGGGAGTTGGGAGGGGTTGCCAGGTTTCCTGGAGCTCCAAGTCCCAGCATGGCGTGGGTCCCAGTAAATGCTGGTGGCTCCCGTCCTGGGCAGGTGTAGCCTGCCATACTCGCAGCCACTCGGGGTAGGAGTGGGGGCTTGCTTCAAGCTGTTTCTAATGAATTGACCATTTCACTGCCCAAGTTCTGAAATGGCCAACACACCATAAAAAGACATCTCATTAGGCTCCTGCTTGAAATCAACAGCGTCAGGAAGCTGCCAGCCTTGATTCAGGGCCAGGCCCTGCATGGACTTTTAAAAAATTAAAATTTAAGAAAGAAAAGGTGTTGGTAGCCTTCATTGATGAAAAGTCTTAGAAATGGTTTTGTTTCATGTTCTGTGGCAATCACCAGTTTGAAAAGTAGTCATTCGTATCTTCTTTGCTTGTTCTACTAAAGTTGTTTCATTTCCTGTCTTGCTTCCTCGGTTCTATCTTTTGTTTTTTGTATGTAAGGAAAACAAGTAAACCACTGGCTCAAAATCTAAAGTTGACTTTCTCTTCCTTCTCATTTCCCTGTGTCAGTTCCCCAAATCTTGTTCAGCTGGAAGTGAAGCCAAAACTTAAGCAGAGCGGCCAGGAAAGTTGGCCAAAGGTCGCAGCTTTTTTAGAGTCTGCATTTCCTACAGCTCTTGACTTCTGGCTAGCAAATAGCCTTCTCCAAAAACCAATGCAGTCACTCCTGTTAGCCACCAGGACCAGTTTGGACCAGTTTGGGACCACAGGTGCAATCAGAAGGAAAGAGAATCACGGATCTCTCAGTTGTGTTTACAGCTACCAGTAAGGTTTACAGGGAGACTCACTAGGAGCCCTGGCAAGTGGACACCACCGGAAGAAGGCCGGGTGTGCCTGGGGTGGAAACCCTGAAATCACACTTCATAACTGAGTCATCTTACACACCCCACTTTTTGAAGAACCAGGCTAAGTGCACAGTCGATTCTCCATAAACACATGCTTTTCTGTGGTTTCCTGTGATTATTGTTACTGTTCTGGGAAGCCTCCTTTGTATTTCTGCATATAGTGCAGATGGTTTTGTTTTGTTTTATATTTTATTGCTTCGGTGTGAACTTCCAGGGCAGTGTTAAATAACTGTACAAATGTGACATCATTGTCTCTCCCTCTCTCTCTCTTTCAGTGTGTGTGTGGTGTGTTAAGCCGAGGGCCATGAGCACACTAAGCATTTGCTCTACATCCCCAGGCCATTATCTCCTTTCAGAAGAACGCATCAGCTGGTTATTATGAAATGGGATACTGTAGTGGATGGAGCTGTATCCCCCTAAAAGATAAATTCATGCCCTAATTCCACCTCCACCTATGAATGTGACTTTAATGCTTTCAAGTTAAGACTCACTTTCATAACGGTGAGTCCCGCATCCAAAGTGATTCTTGTCCTCACCAAGAGAAGGGGATTTAGAGACACACAGAGGCAAGAGAATCATGCAAAGATAGAGGCAGAAATTGGAGCGATGTAGCCCAGGTCCAGGAATACCAACAGCTTCTGGCAGCTAGGAAGAGGCAAGAAAGGGTCTCTGCTGAGTCTTCAGGGGCACTGAGCCTCTCCAACACCTTCGTTTGAGACATCTGGATTCTGGAACTGCAAGAAAACAAATGTCAATTGTTAATGCCCTTTGGATTATAGTAAACTAATAAACCTAGTAAACTGAGAGAGATATTTTTTGTGCTTTAAAATAAATACTCAAGAAAAACATTACCACTTCTCTGATGACAATATTTTTAAGAAATAATAAGAAATGAGGACTCCTTAATTTTTTCATTGCCCTAAATGATTTGTTTCACAGTGAACCTCACTACAAACCTGCTATTCTTCACTGGAGAATTTTTTTCTCTCTAGTAATGTACAGATGTTATCAACAGCAACTGATTTTTAATACAAAGGATCTGACGTAAGAATGTGTAGGCTCATTATGGGACTCTTTCTTGATTGAAGTTTACAATCTTACATCCACTTTTCCCCCCACATTTTTAACCTCTTTTCCATCTCTAAGCTTTAGAGTCAGTGGAAGTCCCATAAAGTCAGGTTTCTTGCTGTGCCTTCTCCCAGAAAGGGCAGATCACTAGAGGGGACACTAATTCGGCCAAAGAGATATCATAAATTAAGCCCAAAGGCTATTATCCTGCCCTAGAACTCCTACGATTTATTTTGAATGGAACTCAAAAAGGAATTGTGCCCCTGGATATCCATGGATTATTTCTGGAAAATGACTACATGGCATCCTCTAAATAATAGAGTTTTTCTCCACTATAAGCTTTTATACTATCTTCAATTTAGTACTTTTTGCATCTATAATTGGAAACAGCTTCTTTACCTAATGGCACTATTAAATCAGTATCACACATGCACCTCCACTTCTATGAACACCCCAACACCTGTAAAGGTCTTGTGACAGCACCCGAGAAACCCTTGCTTACAAGGGAGGAAGTGACCTTGAGGATTCCTTAGTTAAATGATGTTGGCACCTATTAAATCCATTTTTGAAGGATTGAAGTCCCTGAGTTCAAGGACTCATTTAATAATGGCGCCAAAGCACATGAACATTGAAGCCAAGCATTTGAATTGCCAAAGAGAAGCCATACTGAAAGGCCAAAGTTCTCAGTTTGATAAGAATATGTATAAGACCTGCAGGCAGACCACATCTGAAACTGTGACAAAGGCAGAAGAAATCCATGCCATTCTATCCAGTTGACCTTGGTTAAGGTGGTGCCGGGGTTTTTCTCAATTATTTATTTTATGAAACGAAACACGTAATTGCTTCTTAACCTTTGGCTAAGATCAAATGTTTAAAAATTGAAACATTATATATGCAATGTTTAGTTTTATGTGTCAGTTGGTTATTCCATCGATTACTAATCTAGGTGTTTTGTATATTTGGTATTTTGTATATGTAATTTAAGTTCATAATCAACTGGCTTAGTAAAGGAATGATCCCAGGTAGTATGGGTGGGCCCCATTCAGTAAACTGACTGTAGCAGAGGTTGGGGGTGGAGCTCAGTGGTAAAGTACTTGCCTAGCAATTGTGAAGCCCTGGGTTTGGTATTAACACCATGAAAATAAACAAACTAACAAATAAATAATCTCCAACTAGTTCTGTTTTTACGGGTAAGCCCTGACAATACAGTCTACTTATTGAACTTTGTGTTTTTCAGTAAGAGATTTTAATTAATTAATTAACTTTTTTTGAGGCAGGGTCCAGGCTATGCAGTTCAGGCTCGCCTCGAACTTACTCACCTTGATCCACCAGCTTCAGCCTCCTGAGTGTTGGGATTACAGGTGTGTACCACCACACCTGGCTTTTTTGTCTTTCTCATTGAACAGCATCTCTTGGAAATCCCTCCAAGCCCATTGTTATGGTTACAGCTCATTATCTTCAACCACTACATGTGTACCACTCACTGGCATGTATGTACCATTACTGACTGTTTCTAAATGTGAAAAACAAATCCTTATATTGGTACATCTCTTTCTTCCAGACAGAATTCCAAAAAGAGAACTGCTGAGTTCAGTGATTACACAGAGGTAGAGGAAGGGGAGAGCTCCCCAGCCTCTTCCAGAGATTTGCTGCAGTGCACTGTCCATGGATATATGCATAGGAGAGAGAGACGGACATGTTTATTAAGGCGCCTAGGGAGTAATCACAGGAGCGCGACCACCCAGACTCACTGGAGTCTACACGTGTGCTCGTAAAGCTTCCTTCATACAGGGAAGACATGGTGACACGACAAATTTGGGGGTAGTAAGTGATATTAGGGGAGTGAATGACCCAGTGCTCAGACAATGGTTAGTGTGTTAGTCAGGGTTTTACTAGAGAAAACAGATACAACACGAGATAGACAAATGTATACGAAATGACACGATTGGCTTAGGATGGTCAGCCACAGAGTTGGATGAGGGAGCGTGCAGAGGGTGTCCTATGCTGGAGGCTGAAGGGTTCAATCCAAGGTCTGGAGTTCAGCCCAGTGTCCATGCAAGTCCACACCAACAGGCAGGCTCTCCGACAGAAGGCCAAAGAGTCTACACTGGAAGGCTGAAGAGTCTTTGCCGGAAAGCTGAAGAGTCTACACTGGAAACCAGGAGATGATGTGCAAGCCAAAGGCAAAGACTGGAGCCCCTGGGGCTGGGGATTTAGCTCAGTGGCATAAGCACCTGCCTTGCAAGCAGGCAGTCATGAGTTCGATTCCTGGTACCAATAAAAATGAAAAAGAAGAAAAAAAAAAAAGACTGGAGCTCCTCCAAATAACAGAACTCATGTGTCCTTCCTCCTTCCCTTTTATACCTCCAGGAGATGAGCCACCCTAGGGTGGGTCTTCCACACCCCTGGGTGTAAAGTTGCTAAACTAATTTAGCTAAGCTTCTAAATGTCTCAAATTGACACAATCCATCAACCTCTACAGCTAGCAAATGATCCTCTTTGGGAGTTGAATGGGCCTAGAAGATGTCCAACTGACTTGTGGCAAAATCTGTCCAAATATGATTACATTCTTTTTCTTATTTTTAAAAATTTTTTCCTTTTTATCGGTACTGGGGATCGAACTCACGACTGCCTGCTTGCAAGGCAGGTGCTTATGTCGCTGAGCTAAATCCCCAGCCCCAACAGTAGAATTTTTATTAGTTTTAATTTTCTTCTCTATTATTCGATTATTTAAAGTTTTCAAATTTTCTTGGTTTAACTTTGGTAATTCATATATATCTAGGAATCTACCATTTCTCCTGAATTCTCCAATTTATTGGAGTGTAAATGTTTAAAATACTTGGCCAATAATATTCTGGAGTTAGTGATGTCCATTGTGGTTTCAGCCCTTTTATTTCTAGTTGAATTAATTTGTGCATTTCCCTCTTTGTTTCATGAGATTAGCTAAGAGTTTATTTTATTCTTTCAAATAACGAGCTCTTTGATTCATTAATTCTTTGTATCTTTAGTCTCAATTTCATTAATTTTTGCTCTGATCTTTATAATTTCCTTCCTTGTACGAGCTCTGGATTTGAGTTGTTCTTGTTTCTCTAGGACCTTGTGGATATATAGTCAGTTTCCATTTATGTGCATAATTTCTCTGGTTTCTTTCTTCCTTTGTGTTGTTTTGCTTTCTTGGTTTTGCTTGATTTTTGAGACAAGGTCTCACTACATAGTTCAGGGTGGACTTAAACTCACTGTGTAGTTCAGGCTGGCCTCAAATCCACGGCAATCCTCCTGCTTCAGCCTCAGGCATGCTAGGATTACAGCTGTGTACCACCATGCACAGGTTTGTGGTTTCTTTTGACATGGATTTCTTGTGATTGTGCTGTGATAATAACATGAGTGGGGTACTTACAATTCCTTTGCATTAGTTGATTGTTTGATTGTCCTTTTGAGGAAAAAAAAACCCTGAGAGCGCCCAAAACCAGTGATGGAGAGAGAGAGGAGAGAGAGAGAGAAAGAGAAACAGAGAGAGAGAGAGAGAGAGACAGAGAGAGAAGAAAAAAACAACTGAATAAGAAAAATTTCTGTCTTTTTGAATGAGTGATTTCTTTCAGTGTTTGCACTCTTGGAATCCAGTGAGTCCTGATTTTTCTACCTACCTTTTTGTCTGTGATTTGTGATGTGTCACTCTGCTCCAGAGGCCCCCCTGTTCATACATCCTAGACTGTGGTGACCATTCAAGTCATCGTGTGTGCTTGCTTATGTTAGAATGTGGGGAAAACAATGAAACCAGTAGTCTCTGCTGGATGTAGGAGTGCGCTGGAGGCTCAAGCAGACTGCTGGACTTGGTGGGAGCACTTGTGAGGCCAGCTACCTCTGAAAGCCCCACTCCTCATGGAGGGTGGAGCCCACATCCTTCCTGGCCTGAATCTAAACTTCTCAGGGGATGTATGTGTAGCCACACCCTCTCTACAGCTGTCTCCAGGGATTTGTCTCTCACCCAGTCACTGTGGGAGGGCAACACACTGGGAAGGCCGAGGTGGGCTTGTTCTGTAGTTGTTCTGTGGCTGACTCTCCAGCAACCCCTTCCCCCAGTAGATCCAGATTACACACCGTGGCAATATGGCAGGCACTGTACTGGGTTTCTTTTCCAACCGTAGTCTGATGTGAAGGAATCACTTCTGGAGTAAAACCCCATACTGTTTTTCTAGCTTATGAAAGTTGTTGGCTCTACTTGGGGTAGTACTCCTGACTAAATCTGTTATTTCTCCTTGGAGCAGTCAATTCTTTCAAGGTACTGGTCTCTCCATGATCAGGGAGGCTGATTGCTTAGCACCTGTGCTGCCCAGAACTGAGGAGAAACAAAACAGAGTTGGCTGGAGTACCTGGGTAGCTGTGGCCAGGGCATGGAAACCATAGTCACAGGGTTGGCAGGGGCAAAGACTGCATGGGAGTGGGTCTGTCTGTGTAGGCACAGGGGTGGGTTCTGTCCACCTAAAGGTTTTATCCTGTACAGTGGCTCTATCTATGCTGTTGCTTTCTGACTTGAGATCTATTTTGTCTGGCATCAAGTAGGTAGTATTTACTTGCTCTCTCTCTCTACCCCCTGCCACAGTAGGGAGGCATCCCACAGCCTCTTCCAAGTGCCACAAGCAATCAACTGTTGACCTATGTCTCCAAC